GCAAAGTAAGTGCAGGGTGGCAGTGGGCAGTGCTATGTGAGATAAGCTGGGTACAAGGAAGTAGCCAGAGCTTGAGCTCCTGAGGCAAGGGGCGGTGCCACGCGGGAGTGGGACGGCAGAGGACTGAGTTCCCTTTGCTTAGTCCCCTCCCTATATGCAACATCATCCCCAGACGCCTCTTGTGACCTTCCTGACTTCCTGGGTCCCTTTGTGCAGCACTCACCCAGACCCCTCCTCCCAGTATCTGAGTCTGACTTCCTAGGTCACGTACTCTGTCTATGCGCTAATCCCAGATGCCTCCTCCCTGTATCCAGTCCTAGCCTCCTACGACACTCCCTCCCCCTTGGTATGCTAAACTCAGACAGCCCCTTCCAGTATCTGACCCTACAATCATTGGCTAGTAAGCGGGCTGGGGAGGAGGGGCTAGGTAGGTATTTAGGAACAAGCGTGGTCAGATCACACGCTCTCTCTCCTGGCTCCTGTTCTGTTGCTCTGGCCTTGCTGCTTGGGCTTGCTATGATGGCTTGCTGTGATGGCTTCTGAATAAAGCTCTGGTGTTGGTGCCTCCCGATGGCTCGTCTCTGTGTGTTTATCCGGCTGAGTACCGAAGACTCGGAAGTGAGTATGACTCTGGTAGCCTGCTCCTTATAGGAGGAGAGGGTACCGGCGCGCGGCCGGCAGAAGGTCAGCAGGCGGCCAGTACAAAGAACAACAAATACAGATTAACAACAACAAAAATATTGTCTAGCATTGATAGAATGCTTTAAAATCTGCCAAGCTCTCTACACGTTATCCCATTTGATCCTCACAACAACCAGGGGAGGTAGATGCTCTTATTATCCTGTTTTATGGTTGGGGAAACTGAGGCAAACAGAGGGTAAGTGATTGTCTAGGGTCACACAGCTGCATAGTGACGGAATCAGGATCTGAACTCAGGGTCACTTTGATTCCAAGTCCCACACTCTGTCCACTGTAACGTTTAGCTGCCTGTCTGAGGCAAAAATAAATCCAATGGAGATTGTCCTTTTGTTGGTGATATTTTTGCTTTTCTACAATGTAGAATTTTAGGGGAAGGGGCATTTGAGTTGAGTTTTGAAGGGAGAGGGATTCAGTCTGGTGGAGTCAAGTGGAGAGTGCCTTGTAAGCAGGAAGGATGGTGAATGGGGAATAGCCAACAGGTCAATCGGTTTGTAGTGGGGGATAAAGAATTGGGAGAAGAAAGAGATGGGTTAAAAAGTAAGAAGTGGAGGAGAAAGAAAGGGAGAAATGAGACAGAAGAGAAAGAAGGGACTGGAAAGGAGAGAAAGAAGAGCCCAAATGGCAGAACCCTAAGTCTTTCCTTGGATTTGTGAGGAGGTGGTGACAGCCGGTATTTGGGTAACTGGTTCTGGGGTCTCGGGGCTGGGGCTGCCTGATGGGGGTGGTCAAGTGCCCAAGCCCCCAGTGCTTCAGAGGTGCTTCTTATGAGTGGGCCCCTGCCTCAGATTCTTATAATTTAGCCGATAGCTCGCTAATGTTCAGACTCCTTAAGAATCTGCCCAATATGACGATAAACCTTGTCTTTGGCTGAAAGAAGGCTTGTGCTGAATTCTTTCAGGCAGCACCCATGTGTTTTGATTTTGGGGTCCCAGCACCTTTAAACCCCTGAACCTCAACATTTTGGTGACCCGTACAGGGAAACTGCCTAACCCCAAGTTCTTCTCCAGTCAAGACTGGAAGGTATGTAAGCCTCCCCCACCTCCTTTCTTGCTCTGCGGTTGGGGTCACTCTCCAAGGACCAAGGCTTGGAGGTGTTTTATGGGCAGACAGTTATGAAGCTGTCTTACACTCGGCCTGACACTCTCAGGCTCTAGGTCCACTGGATCAATTCGAGGCCATGGACCTGGGTACACCTTCCGCAGCATAGAGGACAAGGACGGATGCCCTATCTGGAAGCGTATGCCCAATTCTGCCAATTCTGTAGGTGCTAGGGATTTGGGGAAAACTGTAGTTTCTTTTTAGTTCCCTGAGGCTTACTCACTCCCCTCTACATTCCTGAATCCTCCTTCATGGAGGTTACAGAGAAAAGTTATAACAGCTAAAAACATCTTAGCAGATTTTGGAGGCTATGTGATAGATCATTAAGGAGTTTTGAAACTCCTCCTTACAGCCCTGGTCATTCCTTTCTCCCACTCCCTTCCCTTGAGTCAAGAGGGTTTCTGTTAACCCCTCTCATAGGAGAAGAGAGTTTCACCCTTTACCCCTCACCTTTGATTTTGCCCTCGCCCACCTGGGAAAGGAAGGAGGGGGGGAGGGGCAGCAGCTACTTCGTGGGGCCCCACAGCGATGGCCTTGGGCCCTAGGGCAACCTTTGCCCGGGAGGATCACCCAGGATCAGCACATCCTGCTCAAGGTAAAGAAGCTGGCCTCCAAACTTGGGTAAGCACTCCCTTTTAAATGGGTAGTTTTAACTGTTAAAGATGAGATGCTGATTCTCTGTGTAAAGTAATTTGGAAATGGATTTAACAAAACTGAGGTCACCTGATTGGTACTGAATTTGTTTCAAGTTTCAAATTGGTGAACTTTTTGTATCAGTTATGTCAAGCAACTCTTCATAAGTTGGTTACTGCTAAAATAATTTGGCTATTGTTGGTTATTGTTTTAATGTGTAAACTAGCCAAAAAGCTTGTTTGGGTTATGGCTTGCAGGTGTATAGAAATCTCTACTGATTGGCTTTTTACACCAGGACAAATTTAAGTTAGAGATGTAAATCCTGGAAAAGTTTTTCCTAAACTGGGATTAGTGTAACTTGCTGTGTGAGGTAAAAGCTCATAGGATTTCATTTTGAGTTGTCTGATGGATCATAATAATCCATTGATAATCAATAATCCACCATCTGAGAGAAAAGCCACAAGCTACTTCGAGAATGTGATATTGTGGGAAGTCAGCATTGGAAAAAGCTGAGAGGACAATTTTAGCCTCAATCTAAGAAGGGATCCTCCTGGCTCAGTTTCCCCATTATGTTCCTTTGAAAGGGAATGTTACCCACCTGGCTATAAGGTGAATTTGATACTGCCTGGTTGGAAAACTGAATTATCTGAATCCAAACAGAGCTAAGGATGTTTTATCCTGTCATATCTGGGTCCTTCAGTCTGTTTGGTCAAATTTGTGTCTTCTAGATTACAGGCTGTTCACCTACAAGTTGGTAGCAAAGAGCAGGTACCAGCCAATGTCCCTCCATTGTTCCCTGGATGCAGCCTGTGCTCAGTTGCAGTCAACCTCCTCTTTGGAATCTTTTTGAGGCAGGTACAGCTCTATACCCTTTGCCAGTAGGAAGCAGTTTCAGAAGCCAAGACCTTCACCCCTTACCCCAAAAGGATTTGGGTCCCATTTGTTTGAGGGGGGGAATGATGAGGATGGGATCTGGACCTCAAAAAAGAAAAACACTGGACTTTCCCATTGGCCAAATCTCTAGTGTTCACCTGAAGCTATAATCCCATCAACTGGTCTTTCAATGTGGCTAAACCCAATGTCTCTTACTTTTAACCTAGCCTGGCCCTCCATTGTCTTACCTCTCCATGGCCCCTCGCCATTTCCCACCCTTAATCCTAGCTAGGCACCATTCTCCCTTGGCCAAGTGGTCCAGGTCCCTGGCATTCTATTACTCACAGTCCCCCTCTCCTCCAGACTACTTGGCCACTCCTAGATCCCTCCCACAGTCTTTCTGTATATAAGGTCCATCTTGTCTCCATTAAGCTGCTCAGATTCTTATAATCTAGCCAATAGTTTACTAATGTTCAGACTCCTTGAGTCTGCCCAATAGATGGATGTTCTGATAAACCTTGTCTTTGGCTGAAAAAAAAAAGCATCCCCAAAATGAACAACAGTTCTAAAAAGGAAAATTGTAAGTTATTAGCAAACCATGTGAAAGAATGCTCCAAATCCTGATAATACAAGATATCCAAATCAAAGCAACTCTGAGTTTCTATCTCATACTCAGGAAATTGGCAAAGACTCCAAAGGAGCAGTGTCAGCAGGGTTGTGGAAAGATGAGCACACTAATACATTGTCAGTGAAGCTGAGAATGGGTGCAGCTATTCTAAAAAGCTCCTTGAAATTATGTTAAATGATTAACACGTGCATTTGACCAGCGAATTCTGCTAGGTATGTGGCCCAAGGAGTTCAATGATAAAAATAATGACCCCACTTACAGCAAAAGATTTCTGGTAACATTTTTTAGCAGTAAAGAGCTGGAAACAGAGTAAATGCTCCTCTACTGGAAATGGCTAAACACATTGTGCACATGAATAAGATGAGACATTATTGCAACCCTAAGAAAGGAGAAATCTAATGAATGCAGAGAATCATAGGAAGATGCATGTGAATGGATGCAAAGAGAAGTGAGTGCAGCAGAGCAACATAAGAATCATTCCTACAGTGTAAATATAAAGAATGACCAAAAAAAAAAAAAGACAGTTGAAAGTGAATGCTATGAAATTAGCCCCATGGGAAGGCGCCTTCCTTCCTTTCTCGTGGAGTACTATGGGAATGGGACAGTGCAGATGACATCAGATGCTTTGGGTGTGTTAGTTACCCTTCTGTTTTACTCTTGGCTCAGTATGATGGCTCTCTGGAAGGGGGAGGAGGAGGAGCTACATTGAATAATGTAGGCAGTGTGGGAAAAAAAGATATCAATAAACAAGCCCTTAGAAAACAGAACATGCTGACCAAAGCTATTGGAGGGGTGAGGAGGTACCCAGGGACATCCTGCCTCCATATCTGGAATCCTTTCTGTGCCCCCTGTTGGAGGGGGCAGCAGGAGGGGCTGTTGGAGGGTAAACATAGAAGTGCCCTGCATCCTCTCTAGCCCATGTGGGGAGAAGCCTTGAAGCAGTAAGCTAGCAGAAGATAACAGGGGAAGCCAAACCAAACAGCCATTTAACAGTGGAGGGAGAGGAGGCTTCCAATACTGGGGACCAGAGTAGTGGCACGCCTCAGTGAGAACAGTCTTGGTTCAGGGTTTGGATTGCTATTTATTTATTGGCAGTTGTCATGTCCCTGGAGGGGACTCGTCAGGAGTCCGGGGGGGCCCCCTCACAGTGACAGGAGCCAGCAACCCCAGGGAAGTCACTGGAAGGGGGAGGAAGGGAGGGTGAAGTTGGCTGGTCCTGATCAGTGCTGAATTGCTAAGAGCAAGAGAGGCCAGGCAAGGATCAGCAGCAGAAAGGATGGCGTTGCCCGGGGGAAGGATCCCGAATCCCCGGGGGTGACATCAGGGGCTGGAAGCCCGCAGTCCTGATAGGGCTCCAGGCAGGCGGCAAAGGCCATTGCATGAGCCACATAGGTCTGCTCCTGCACTCCATGGAATAGGTGGGCTTGAGGACCTCTTGCAAAGATGGCCACGTCCTCCCCTCCATGAGTCTCTGAGTTCAAGGGCACAGCTGCCTGTGGCCTATAGGATACTTGCTCTGAGGAGCCATGGGAGAGGGAGGAATGTGAGGGCAGCCTAACTGAGTCTGTAAGAAGTACCACACCATTCCTCCCCCCACCCCTGGGAATCACAGTTCCAGAGCTGAAAAGGACCTCAAAGTCCATCTGCTCCACACCCCTCATTTTACAGAGGAGGAAACTGAGGCCTAGGAAGAAGCCACTTACCCAAGGGCACACAGGTAGCAGAGCTAAAATGTGACCCCAGATCCCCAGGGCTCTGACCACTGTGCCACACTGCCTTGAACTCAAAGCCCAGCTCCAGGATTCTCTCGAATGTGAAGCTTTTCCTGATCTCCCCATTGTTGGTGCCCCACTCACCCCCCAATCACCTTTACTTTGTAAACACTGTGAGCTTCTTGTTCTCCCTCCCCACCCAATAGAATGGAAGCTCTTGGAGGGCAGGGACTATCACTTTTTTGTCTTTGGAGTCCCAGGGCCTGACACGTGGTAGACACCACATAAACTGTTGAATGGGTTGATATCTGGGTCAATATGTGCTCTCTCTCCCCCCTTCCCCTTTCAGTAGAACAGAAGCACCAAAAGGCAGGTTCCACTTGGTTTTGTCTCTGTACCCCAGTACCTAGGACAGTTCCTGACACACAGCAGCTGTTTAAGGAGTGTTTGTGAAATGGAATAGAATAGAGGTGCCCCCAGAGCTCTCTTGGCCTCTATCAGGACAAGAAGCCTGGAGCCAACACCTTCTCCACCCAGGCTTGGGCACCCGCTGCCTCCCAGGTTCCCCGTGTGCTTGGCTCCCACTCTCACCACTGACAGTGTCGTTGACATCTGGTCTACTACCATAGAACAGGCTATAGCCAGGTCCGTTGCCATATAAGATGGAAGTATATGCTTTCCTATCTTGTGCCTTGTTGGGAGCCAGTCCTGAGGAAAGAGATCCAAGAAGAGGTGATAGAGCAGGATCAAGGATAGAACTTGCTCCAGAGGGCTTCCCCTGCTAGGCATCTGGGACAAAGTTGGCTTTAGGGCACTGGACAATGATAGATGGAAATGAGAAACCTATAACCTGAGGATGGATGCCCTCTCTTGCCACCCTCGCAGTTCCCTACCAAAGATGGAGCTGCCTCTGTAGGTGTAGCCACCGAAGGAGAAGACGTGGGAGTGGTCTGCAGTGACGACAATCAAAGTGTCCTTTTCACTAGTCAGCTGAGTGGCCTCTTCAATAGATAAGTCAAACATGATAGCTTCGGTCAAGGCCAAGTGGGGGTTGCCATCGTGGTGGCCGTGGTCAATTCGGCCTCCTAAATGAATACATACACTGGGATCAGCCTCTGTTCCAAAAAGCAACCCTCTGCCCACACATTGGCAGCCTTCCATCTCTTCCCACTCATGGTCCTTGGTTTATTTTGCTTCCTTCCCAGGGTGACTTTGGCCAAGTCACTTAACTTCCATGGTCTTCAGTTTCCTCATCAAGAAAATGAGGGGTTGGATGAGGTGGATTCAGAGATCCTCTCTAGCCTTTGACCTCTGACTGCTTCCCACCCTCCTTCCTTCACAGCATCAGGAGCAGCCTCACAGAATCATCCCAACTCTTGGACCTGCGTTGACCCCAACTCACCTTCCACAAAGAGGTAGTAGCCTTTGGAATTTAGGCTAAGCTTTTGGATGGCAACCTGGGTCATATCCCTCAAGGAGGGGTCTTCAGAAGTATTGCGTTGTATGTCATATTTGGTGTCCCTGGGTTCAAAGAGCCCTTGGAGAAAGAGATCTCCTTTCAGGCTTCAGATATTAAGATCGCTGCACAAACATGCATTCCAAAGAGTTCTGTATTTCCCAACTTGGGCATTGCTAGGTCAGCCTAGTCAAGAGTTTCATGCTGAGGATAAGATGCTGGGGAGACCAAAACCTAGCAAAGAAGTCTACCTGCAGGAAGCACTAGAGGAGAGGAAGGCAATTGTGTCTGTTACCCATGATCCGTGTCACTGTGGGGTCTGCTGCTGCACTCAGTAGCTGTTCACGGTTCCACACATATTTGGCACCCTGAGAAATACAACCGCCATCAGCCTTGACTGTCCCCTTCTCTAGCTCTGGAAGCCTTGACAAATGGGGTGCTCTCCCTCTCTTGGAATTCCTCTCCACCCAACCTCCAGCACTGAAACAACCGCATCACCTACCTGGCTGTGGTTCAGCCATTTCTCTACAAGGTTCTGACCATCCTTCCTAATTCCATTCTCACTGCCAACGGTTGGGTACTCAGGATCAGGGGTATTTTCTGGAAACATGTACTTGCGGCCTCCACCCAGGATCACCTGGGAGGAAATGGGGAGAGTGTCATGGACCAGAGTGGGCTCTAGGGCTCTGGGACCAGCCTTTCTCTTTCTGCTGCTCAAGTTCCCAAGTCTGACTTGCTGAACCACACCCCTACAAGGCCATTTATTCCCAGCATTCTCTGTCCCATCATTCCTTGCATTCCCCCACCTCAGCCTGATGTTTTCCCATTGATTCCTCCCTGTCCCTTCAAGTTCTCCATTGCCCCACATAGGCTCTCTTCCCAGAGAATCTCACTAGGTATCCCCAGCTTTTCATCACAAAGGGGAAACTGAGGCAGAAGGGCACAAGGAGACTCCCCCTGCAAGTCTCATTCTCATGTTGATCCTCACCTCCTCCAAGAATCTCAGCATCTCAGAATTAGAAGGGGGCCCAGAGGCATCAAATCCAGTTTGTGCCTGAGTAAGAATTCCCTCCCTGACTGCCACCAACAAGTGGTCATGCAACCAAGGAGGCCACTCCAGGCCTCCTGGGACAAGGACCTATCAGCTCCACAGGCAGCCCTGCCACTTTGGGAAAGTTCTCATCATCAGCAGGTTTTCCCATAGGTCAAACTAAGTCTGTCCCTTTGTAACTTCCACCTCTTCTCTCCAAACCCCTTGGCGGTGGCCACCCAGGAGCTCCCCAACTTCTGCCCTGGTGATCTTACGTCAATGTCCACATTGGAAACCAGCTGGGAAGCAATGTCCTTGCAGCCACTCTCCAGGGCCTCGGCAGGCATGTCAGCATCTGAGTACCAGTTCCGGTTCACCACGTGGGCGTAGGTGCCCGAGGGTGAAGCATGCTGCACCCGGGTGGTGGTCACCACTCCCACTGACTTTCCTGAGGGAATTCAGACCCCAGGCTCAGATCCCAGGGCCATCCCTTCTCCATAGACAAAATGAACAAATGGTCCCTCCCCTGCAGGACCTACATTTGATTGAGGGCTGGGTGCACAGGAGGACAACAGGCAAACAGACACATCTAGACGGTATTAAGAGAGGGTCAACAAATACAGAATAAGGAGAAACTTCCTGTAAATGTCCCCTGAGATGAACTGTAAAGAATCTTGGAACTCTAAGAGTTGGAAGGGAGGCCTGGGTGACAGCCAAAGGCATGAAGGTGGTGGGAGAAGGGCAGGGTTTAGAGAACAGCAACTAGGAGGGTTTGGCTGAGCAACAGTGTGTGGAGGGAAGTTGTATGAAAACACAAACCTAGAAAGGGAGGCTAGAGCCAAACTGTGAAGGGCTTTCCATGCCAAGAAGAGTCCCTATTTATTCTAGAAGCCTAGCAAGTCAGTAGAGCAGGGGAGCAACAGGTCAGACTTGTGCTTTAGGCACCTAGGGAGCACAGTGAATAGAGCGCTGGACCTGCAGTTAGGAAGACCCAAATTCAAATCCAGTCTCAGGCATTGACCAGCTGTGTGATCCTGGAAAGTCACTTAACTTCTATCTGCCTCAATTTCCTCCCCTGTAAAATGAGGATAATAATAGCACCTGCGTCTCAGGGTTGAAATGCTTTGCAAACCTCAAGGCTCTATATACACACTAGCTATTTATTCTCATCCTCGTTATTTTGGCAGCTGTGTGAGGGATGCATTGGAGAAAGGAGAGGCTGGAGGCCAGAAAACAAATAGAAGTTTGTTGAAATAGTCCAGGTGAGAGGGGATGAGAGGCCACACTAGGTGGGACTGTGTGAGTGGAGAAGAGGAGGTGTAGAGGTCCAAGCCACAGAGTCTGGTGATTGCTTGGCTCAGGGAGTGAGGAAGAGAGAGGAGCTGAGGTTGAGACTCCAAAGGGCACAGGATGCTGGCGGTGTCCTTGACTGAAGCAGGGACTCTGGAGGAGAGCTGACTTGGCAGAGGCAGGTGACCAGTAGCCTCCTGACCAGTGCTCCCCATCTCACCTGCTTCCTTGGCTCTCTTCAAGACTGAGAAGACCTCATTGCCCCACGTGGTGTTGCATTGATTGAAGCGGGCAGCAGCACTGACTCCAATGGTTTCGAAGTGGCCCTTCACCCCACAGAGGTAAGCAGTGGCTGTCCCCGCACTGTCCGGGACCTGCCTGTCTACGTTGTATGTCTGTGCAGATGACAGCTGGGTAGCTTCTGGGCAGCTGGTAGAGCACCCCCCAGGCCCTCCCCCAGGCCCTCCTGACTAAGCAGAGCAGGGACCATGCTCCCTTAGTCTGGGTTATTAATGGAGCCTGCCTATACGCACTCCCACCCATCCTAGTGTTCCACCTCATGCCCCCCCAAAGCCCTCCTCCCTTCTTTCCTTCCACATTTCCCAGCAGTGCTCCATCAACATCCCCACCAAGGCCCTTTTTGTATAAAGAAGCCAGAGGTGATCTGCCCAGGGTCACAAAGGTCACAGGTATTTGAGGGAGGATTAGATCCCAGGTCTTCCTGTCTTCAAGGCTAGTGCTCTATTGATCTAGGGTTTTCCCTCACCCCCTCCTCCATGATGTACCTTGGACAGAGCCACATAAGGGAACCCATCCATAGCCAGTGGGGTTTCAAGTCCCAGATTTCCATTCAGATTTCCTTTCAGGATACGGGTGGCCGTTATAGTGGGCACTCCCATCCCTGTGTATAGCCAAGACTCAGCTTAGGACTCAGTCCATCCCTATTCTGGGTCCCAGGGCAAACATATCCTATGTCCACCAGGCACTTGAGAGGTGGGATGGAGCCAGAGAGACAAGATCTCAGAGTGTAGTTTGGGTGGGGAAGTCACCTCACTGTTGGGACAGGGGGTCTATCTGGTGTGGGCATTCTGTGGAAGTTTGGCTGGGACAAGGGGTCTATCTGGCCAGTGTGGGCATTCTGGGGAAGTTTGGCTGGGACAGGGGGACTATCTAGGCTAATGTGGGCATTCTGGGGAAGTTCAGCTGCTGGGTGGTTGTGTAGGGGCTGGGCTGGACTGGGGGTGGGAATGGAAGATTCATATCAGCCACCACACTCACCATCCCCCAGGAAGATGATAAGGTTCTTTGCTGAGGTCTGGATGGGCTCTAGCTTCTGGGCTGTCTTGAGGGCAGCTTTTGCCTGCTCGTTCCAGAAATTGGGGTTCTCTTCTGCTTCTTTGGGCACAGCACCAGGGAGCTCAGGGGGTGGAGGGTACACCCCTATCCCTCACCCCCAGGGCCCAGAGGTCCCCCAAACCATTAAAAATCAAGGGGTAGATTTTAGCACAAGAACAAGCCTTCACAGATCCTAGGCTGCTAGAGCTAGGGCAGAAACCCTGGAAACCATCTGCCCAGGTCTCCTGTCTCATAGATGAACAAACACAAGTCAGAATTACTCAGGTTTGTGCATAGCCTCAGATCCCTCAGACTCTACATGTAGCACACTTTTCCCCATGCCATACTAGTCTACACCCCCCACACACACATTTTACACAGGAGGAAACTGAGGTCCAGGAGAGGGAAGGAGCTTGGTGAAGATCATACAGCTAGTAAGCAGCTGTCCTCTAACAATTTTCCAAAGCATCTTTACCCTTCAGCAGATATCCAAGGCATCTCTGAATCCTCACATCACCTTGGGCTCCCCCATTCCTGGGGTTTAATAGGTTCCCACTTTCCTTTAATAGCCACTAACTACACATCCTCCCCATCTTTGGTAGGTGCCCCCAGATTTATCTCAATCCCACCTTCTGGACCAGTGCCATTGAGTAGGACCCTCTCCTTGGTCCCTTTCTATTGGGGAAGCCCCTTGGAGGGGATTACCTGGGAAGACACCATCTGCAATGTGGAAATAGAGTCCCACCAGGAGCAAAGCAAAACTTCCCTGCATTATGAGGCCAGAGAGAGAGAGAGAGAGAGAGAGAGAGAGAGAGATTTTGATGTCTCTCTGGGACACTCAATTGCTTAATAGTTGCCTGTGGGGACTTTGGCCCCAAAAGGAGCTATCTGCTTCCTGGAAGATATTATTGTCCTGTGAGTTCCCCACCCCCTGGATGGTCCTGGCCACACCCTGGCTCCAGAAGGGCTCTCCTGACTTGGACCCTTCTACTGTGGAGCCAAAATGGTGGTGGGTGGTGAGAGCATTCATCTGACTGGGGAAAGAGGTGTCCCCAATTCCAGGTCTAGTGGCTTCAGCTCCACTCAGCTGCTAGAACAGGAATTAACTCTCAGAAGCACAAATGTCACACTGGAAAAAACAACTTTACATATGGATCATAGGATCACAGCTTTAGAGCTGGTAGGGGTCTCCAAGGCCATGCAGTACAACCCCCTCACTTTACAGACGAGGCAACTGAGGCTGAGGAAAGTGAAAGTGATTTCTTGCCCAAATCATGTGTTCCAGGATTCAAACCCAGATCCTCTTGATTCAGTTTAGGGGTGCAGAGACCCCAAAAATATCAAGTTACAGGGCAGAGTCATCTGGAAAGAATTTGCAGACTCAACCCATCTTCTAGTCAAGTGACAATAGTTTATGGTGACACCAAGTTCCTTAGGGAACTTGCAACTTAATGGGGGTGGTGCTAAAGCTCATTTGGAAAAGTTAAGTGAGTGGTGTGACAAATATGCTAATTAGATGGTGTGGGAGGCAGAGTCAAGGTGTGGTCAGCTCTTAAAGGAATATACCTTCTTTTTGGACCTTGGACTCAGGCAGCATTCACTACTGGAAACCCTGGGAGTGGGGGAGCTTCTAAGGGGTGTTTTTGGTCTGCTATGTCAGTAAGTCAACTAGTGGTCATGGCCATCCTGTTTGTATGAGACAGCCTCTGGTGTTGATGTCTATGTGTGGGAATCAGTACAAGATAATTCTGTCTCTACAGGAAGGTTCTGCAGGGTCAGTTTGTTTCTGTAGCAGGGATGGATAGTTTGCCTCGCTGAGACCCACTCGTGAGTTGTTGCCAGAGATAGGGTCTTTGGGCTGGGGAGAAATATGGTTCTAGGGCTAGGGTCCAAACACTCCGACACTCTGCTTCCCAAACCGTGGCTCTGTCCCCTGGTGGCAGGGGCTGGGTTCCAATTTAGGTCTCCTGTTTCCAAACCTAGAGCTTTCTCAACAACTTTTCCAGCACTCATCAGAACAAACCTAAGTGGGGGGCAGCCACGAGGCAAATCAGGAGGATTGGCCTCAGCCACTTGCTAGATGTGTGATCCCGGGCAAGTCATTTAACCTGCCTCAGTTCCTTCATCAGCAAAATGGGGATAATAGGAATAATAGTTGCACCAACCTCCCAGGGGTGTTGTGAAGACTGAATCAGATTATGTACATACAGGCGCTGACAAACCTAAATGCTAACTATAATCATTATTATGTTACATTATCAATATAGTTTCATTACTATCATCATTATTAGGCCCAGGGGCAGGCCTAATAATGGTCCAAGGGCCAGAGGTGAGTCAGCCTCTTGGCTCCACAGACACTCAGATTGAGAAGGAGTTAGAGCTGTGAAGAATGCCAGGGAAGGAGGTAGACAAGTCAGGGCCAGCTCTCTCTGACCCTGAAAGCTCTCCATGACTCAGCTCATTCCTACCTTTCCAGTCTCCTTCCACTTCCTCCACACCCCCACCTCGTCAACACTGGCTTTGGGTTGTTCCATGAAATGTCTCCATGTGCTGACTCCACACAAAGCCTCTGTAGTTTCCCTGGGCCTGGCACTCATCTCTGCCTCCTGGAGCCCCTGGCTTCCTTAGAGCTGGGGCCCCTCCAAAAAACCCTTCCCAGTCCTCTCTCATCTTAGTGCCTTCCATATGAGCTCGTCTCCAGTTCATCCTGTTTCTGCATCATTTGTCCAGAGTAACTTGTAGCTTGTCTCCCCCATCAGACTCTGGGGTCCTTGAGAACAGGGACTTTCTTCTGCCGTTAGTTTTTTGATATTCCCAGAATCTAACACAGTGCCTGGCACATAGTAGGCATTTTAAAAAATGCTGGTTGGCTGACTATGTCCTTCTCCTTTGTGGCTTTAACATAGGAGCCCTTTTAAGGCTGACCTCCATGAAATGATTGTCTATGAATGTTGCCTCCCCTGCTCTGCTCTCTCTGTGTCTTTCTCTTTCTGTCTCTCTGTCTCTCTCTGTCTCTGTCTCATCTCTCTGTCTCTGTATCTCTGTCTCTGTCTCCGTCTCTGTCTCTATCTCTCTCTCTGTCTCATCTCTCTGTCTCTGTCTCTGTCTCTCTCTCTGTGTCTCTCTGTCTCTGTCTCTCTCTCCCCCCAAGCCCTTTACAAACTGCTTCAAGCCTAATCATTCAACCAAAACTGCTCTAATGTTCACAAGGACCTCTTAAATGCCAACTCTACCACCCTTTCTCCAGCCTTGACCTCCTCAGGTGGCTCTCTGCCTCTGGGACCTGTCCTCTTTCTGGTCTACTTCTTCCCCTCCAGTAGCACAGATCTGATAAGGACCTAATTGTTTTAGAAGAGGCACCTAATTGGTTTAGAAGAAGCCATAAAATCAGGAGCCCTAAGAGCTCCTGAGTCACTGCCAGAATCATTCTTGGGCCCCTTTAAAAGAAAAATGAAAACTTCTGCTTAGTAGATACTCTTGTAGTAGAGTCCCTAACAATCCTGGCAGATTGAATTATTATCATTTTACAAAGGAGCAAACAGAGGCTCAGGCAGGTTGAGTGACTTGTCTAGTCATCCCTAGTAACCATCAATAGATCAATGCCTCCTTGAAAGCTGCCTCCAGACATCTCTTCCATTAATGAAAAACTTTCACTTGGTTTCATTTCTTCTGCCCATCCTTCCCTTATCCTCTATCTCTTCCTTTTCTCAACCAAATAGCTTGAAAAAGTTGTCTACACTTGATGCCTGCTCTTCCTGTCCTCCTACTCTCTTCTTCTTCTTCATCTGCTTCTTCTTCTTGTCCTCCTCCTTCTTCTTCTCTCCTCCTCCTCTTCCTCCTCCTCCTCCTTCCTCCTTCTCCTCCTCCTCCTCCTTCATCTTCTTTTTTGCTGGAATCTTTTTCTAAAAATAGTTTGCTGAAGTCTTTTTACAGTTGGCCATCATTACAACATTGCTGTTATTGTCCATATTGATCTCCTGGTTCTTCCCATTTCACTTTACATCAGTTCATACAGATCTTGCCAGGTTTTTCTAAAACCACCCCTCCTATCATTTCCCACAGCACAATAGTATTGCATCATAACCATATGCCACAACTTGTTCAGTCATTCCCCAACTGATGGGTATCCCTTTGGTTTCCAAGTCTTTGCCACCACAAAAAGAGATGCCATAAATATTTTTGGTATATACAGGTCCTTTTCCTTTTCTTTTGATCTCTTTCGGGATCTGAACCTAGTATTATGCTATTGCTGGGTCAACAGGTATGCACAGTTTAATAGTCATTTGAACATAGTTTCCGATTGTTGTCCAGAATGGGTGGACCAGTTCACTACTCCACCAACAATTCATTAATGTATCCATTTTTCCCTCATTTCCTCCATCATTTGTCATTTCTTACAGGTTTGAGGTGGTACCTCAGAGTTGTTTTAATTTCCATTTCTCCAATCATTAGTGATTTAGAGCATTTTTTCATGTAACTATAGATAGCTTTGATTTCTTCTTCTGAAAACTGCCAGTTCATATTCTTTGACCATTTATCAATTGGGGAATGACTTGTATTCTTATAAATCTTACTCAATTTTCTATATATCTTAGAAATGAGGCCTTTTATCAGAGAAACTTGCTGTAATTTTTTTGTGTTACTTCATTGTCTATGGTACCTTTTAGCAAAATGTATTTTTCTAAATTATCTCTTTTAATCAGGTTTATTTTTGCTTTTACTTTTTCAGAGATCATGATTGCTACTCTTACCCTCTTCACTCACATTCTGTTCCAGCCCTTCATTTCAGCTCTGTATGTCTTTTTGTCCCATGTGTGTCTCTTGCACACAAAATATTGTTGGATTCTGGTTTCTAATCCATTCTGCTGTCTGCTTCCATTCTATGGGTAAGCTCATCTGATTCACATTCACAATTATGATGACTAACTGTGTATTTCCCTCCATCCCATTTCCTTCTGTTTAGCCTTATCTCTCTCTTTTTATCCTGTCCCTCCTCAAAAGTCTGTCTTGTTTTTTTATTATTTAATTTATTTTTAGTTTTTAACATTCACTTCCACAAGCTTTTGAGTTTTAAATTTTCTTCCCCTCCCTGACAGCCTCCCTCCCCACGACGGTGTGCAATCTGATATAGGCCCTACATATACATTTCTATTAAACATATTTTCACATTGGTCATATTGTAAAGAAGAATTAAAACCAGTAGGAGGAACCACAAGAAAGAAGAAACAAAACCAAACAGAAGGAAAAAAAGAGCAAATAGTATGCTTTGATCTGCATTCAAACTCCATAGTTCTTTCTCTGGATGTGGATAGCATTTTCCATTGTGAGTCTTTTGGAGTTGTCTTAGATTTTTTGCATTGCTGAGAAAAGTCTATCAAAGTCAGGCATCACACAATGTGGCTGTTATTGTGTACAATGTTCTCCTGGTTCTGCTCACTTCACTGAGCATCAGTCCATACAAGTCTTTCCAGGTTTTTCTGAAATCCATTTGCTCATCATTTCTTATGGAACAATAGTATTCTATTACATTCATATACCACAACTTGTTCAGCCATTCCCCAATTGATGGGCATCCCCTCAATTTCCAATTCTTTGCCATCACAGAAAGAACTGCTTTAAGTATTTTTGTACATGTACATCCTTTCCCCATTTTTATGATCTCTTTGGGATACAGCCCTAGAAGTGGTATTTCTGGGTCAAAGGGTATGCACATTTTATAGCCCTTTGGGCATAGTTGCTCTCCAAAATGGTTGGATCATTTCACAACTCCACCAACAATGCGTTAGTATTCCAATTTTCCCACATCTTCTCCAACATTTATCATTTTACTGTTTTGTCATGTTGGCCAATCTTATAGGTATGATGTGATACCTCAAAGTTGTTTTGATTTGCAATTCTCTAATCAATAGTGATTTAGAGCATTTTTTCATATGACTATAGATGGCTTTAATTCTTCATCTGAAACTGCCTGTTCATCTCCTTTGACCATTTATCAATTCGAGAATGACTTATATTCTTATAAATTTGACTCAGTTCTCTATATGTTTTAGAAACGAGGCCTTTATCAGAGACTGGTTGTAAAAATTCTTTCCCAGTTTTCTGCTTCCCTCCTAATCTTGGTTGCATTGCCTTTGTTTGTGCAAAAACTTTTCAATTTAATGTAATCAAAATTATCCATTTTGCATTTCATAATGTTCTCTGTCTCTTGTTTGGTCACAAATTCTTCTGTTCTCCATAAGTCTGACAAGTAAACTATTCCTTGCTCTCTCATTTTGCTTATAGTATCAGCTTTTATGTCTAAATCATGTACCCATTTTCACTTTATTTTGGTATATGGTGTAAGATTTTGGTCTAGGCCTAGTTTCTGCCATACTCTTTTCCAGTTTTATAAGTTTTTGTCAAATAGTGAGTTCCAGAAGCTGGGGTCTTTGGGTTTATCAAGCAGCAGATTACTATAGTCATTGACTACTGTGTCTTACATACCTAACCAAATGCACTGATCCACCACTCTTTTTCTTAGTCAATACCAAGTAGTTTTGATGATTGCTGCTTTATTATACAGTTTTAGATCTGGTATGGCTAGGTCACCTTCCCCTGAATTTCTTTTCATTAGTTCCCTTGATATTCTAGACCTTCTGTTCTTCCAGATGAATCTTGTTATTATTTTTTCTAGCTCTATAAAATAATTTTTGGTAGTTTGATTGGTATGGCATTGAATAAGTAAATTAATTTAAGTAGAATTGTCATTTTTATTATATTCGCTCAGCCTACCCATGAGCAACTGATGTTTTTCTAATTATTTAGATATGACTTTATTTGTGTAAAAAGTGTTTTGTAATTGTGTTCATATAGTTCCTGGGTTATTTTTTTTTCAGGTAGACTCCTAAATATTTTATAATGTCTACAGTAACTTTAAATGGGATTTCTATCTCTTGATGTTGCACTTTGTTGGTAATGTATAGAAATGCAGATGTTTGTGTGGGTTTAGTCTGTCTTGTTTTTAACAGCTGCTTCCTCCCTTATCCTTCCCTCTTTGCCTCCCCCTCATATCTTTTATCCTCTTCCCCCAGATCTTTATGTTGGATAGGATAGATTTCTACACCCAACTGAGAGTGGTGTGTGTGTGTGTGTGTGTGTGTGTGTGTATGTGTGTGTGTGTATGTGTATGTATGTGTAGTCTTCCTTCCTTGAACCAATTCCAAGGAGTGAGGTTCAAGCAATTTGCCCCTATTTTATCACTCCTTTCCTTTTTCTCCCAGAGCATCCCCTTTTCTCACCCCTACATTCTTTTTTTTTTTGAGATCATTTTGACATAACTGACTCACACCCATAACCTTGGTCTATTCAGACTCCTTCAAACTGCCTTAATAATTATAAAGATCTTAGGATTACATGTATCATCTTCTTATATAGGAATGTAAATAGTTTAACTTAATTAAGTCTCTTATGGTTATTCTTTCATGTTTACTTTTTTATACTTCTCTTGAATCTTCTGTTTGAATGTCAAACTTTCTATTCAGCTCTGGTCTTTTCATCAGGAATCCTTGGAAGTCTTCTATTTCCTTAAATATCCAACTTCCCTTGAAAGGTTATACTCAGTTTTGCTGAGTAGGTTATTCTTGATTGTAATCCTAACTTCTTTGCCCTCTGGAATATCATATTCCAAGCCCTCTGATCCTTTAATGCAGAAGCTGCTAAATCTTGTGTGATCCTGCCTGTGGTCCCATGATATTTGAATTGTTTCTTTCTGGCTGCTTGCAATACATTATCTTTGACCTGGGAGCTCTGGAATTTGGTTATGATATTTGTGGGAGTTTTCATTTTGGGATCTCTTTCAGGAGGTGATCAGTGGATTCTTTTAGTTTCTATTGTACCCTCTGAATCTAAGATATCAGTGAAGCTTTCCTTTATAATTTCTTAAAATATGATGCCTGGGCTCTTTTTTTGGTCATAGCTTTCTGGTAGTCCAATAATTCTTAAATTATCTCTCCAATCTATTTCTTAGGTGTGTTGTCTTTCCAATGATGTATTTTACATTTTTTCTGTTTTTTCCTCTCATTCTTTTGACTTTGTCTTATTGTGTCTTGAAGTCTCATGGAGTCATTAGCTTCTACTTGCCCAATTCTAATTTTTAAGGAATTATTTTCTTTAGGGGGCTTTTGTATCTCCTCCATTTGGTCAATTCTGTTTTTTAAGGAGTACTTTTCTTCAGTGAATTTTTGTGCTTCTTTTACCATTAGGCCAGTGCTAGTTTTAAGGTGATATTTTCTTCAGTATTTTTTGTTCCTCTTTTACCAAGCTGTTAATTCTTTTCTCATAATTTTCTGGCATCACTCTCATTTCTTTTCCAATTTTTCCTCTACCACTCTTATCTCTTTCTTTAACTCTTCCAGGAATTCTTGTTGGGCTTGAGTCCAATTAGAATTTTTCTTTGAGGCTTTTTTTGGGTAGCTGTTTCCACACTGTTGTCTTCTTTTGAGTTTGTCGTGGCCTTCCCTGCCATCGTAGTAGCTTTACGATCACATTCTTTTTTGTGGTTTGTTCATTTTCCCAGCCTATTTTTTCACTTTGAACTTTATGTTAAAGTTGGGCTCTGCTCACCTTGGGGTGGGAAGTCACTGTCCTAACCTTCAAGCTTTTTCTGCTACTATTTTCAGAGCTAGTTATGGTGGTCTGCAAGTTTTTGGTGCTTCCAAGGTGGTGTAATCTTGGGAGAGGTATGGTCACTGCTCTCCTGATCTGCATTGTGGTCTTTACCGAGGAATGGTACCTGTAGTAATACTCTTCTTGGCCCTGGAACTGTGATCAATGCCACTGCTCCCTTATGACTAATCACAAGTAGTACTCAGCATTTTGGAACTGTGACCCAGAACTGCTCATGGGCAATAGAGCTGCCAATCAGCCTCAAGTGTATACAATGCCAGCGAAGGGTCTGAGGGAATTGAGGGGATTAGGCAAGTGGTTAATTGTGGGCATTGAGTAAACCACACTGACTCCATCTTGTGACTCAGTTTTGGAGCTAGCACAGTTCCCTTTTTATTCACTTATGGTTCTAGTCCAATTTCTGGCCTGTGAAAAAAACTTTATTCAATTGTGGGGATTGGGAGAAAAAGTTGTATTTTTTGAACCTACCCCTGTGTAGTTGGGAAACTGGACCACCTCTCCCTGCTGCTTGGAGACCCTTAAACAAAGACCTAGGTTATGCTGACCAGAAACCCGGTCAGACCCAAAGATTGATGCAAGGAGTTTTCTCACAATTTAATATCTCGAGCAACCCATATGTCTTATCTGAAATCTGGCCCCATACTGATTGATCGATTATTGTTTTTACGTCCCTTTGATTGTCTGCAGACACTTTGGGGAGTGGGACGCTTCTTTTTATGATTTCAGGGAATTGCACCTATTCACTTTCCCCCTCCCACCTTGAAAAGTCCCTAATCTTTCATTCAATTAGAAAGAAGAGGGACAGTTAGATGGCACAGTGGATAGAGAACTGGCCCTGGATTCAGGAAGACCTGAGTTCAAATCTGGCCTCAGTCACTTGACACTTACTAGCTTTGTGACCCTAAGCAAGTCACTTCACCCCATTGTCTTGCAAAAAAAAAAAAAGAAATAAGATTATCTAACATTGTATTGTTTCCTTTTAATGAATTGGTTTTATTTGATTAGTTGTTTTTAATGCATAAAACATCTGTCTTCCCCTGTATTTGGGGTCCTAAGCCGAGGAGATCTAGTTCCACTTTCTTGGGCAATTGGCATGTATCACTTAATAAATCAATATGCTTGAAAGATTGAACCTTTGTTTTCCTCTGTTATTTCATCTTTCACCCATTACAGGTCCCCTGTAATCTCTTTCTGACCAGTTGTCTGACCCCCTTTCTATCTCTAGGCTGAGCGTTCCTGAAGCTGCTGCTGCTGCTGCTGCTGCTGTTATAATCATCTCCAAGACCCACAGCTGGTACTATTGCCATACTCTGGGCCTCTGCCCGTCTCAGTGTTACAGACCCTCCCTGTGGACCTCCTAAATTGTCTCCCCTTTTGTTGGCTCTGTCATGCCAAAATTTGATTTCAGGCACTATTTCAAAATTGTTTGGAGGGGAATGTCGGGAGAGTTCAGCTGGGTCCCGGCCTGTATTCCACCATATTTGTGACTAGACTCTCACTCTCTTTTAAACCCTTTACAGTCTGGTTTCAGGCCACATCCCTTAATTGACCTGGCTCTCTCCAAAGTTACCAATGACTTTCTAAATGACAAATCAGATGACTTTTTCTCAATCTTCATCTTTGGTCACATTGCAGCATTTAACACTGTTGGCCACCATCTCCTGGATATCTCCCTCCTCTCGGATTTTGCGATGGGCTCCTGGTTCTCATCCTATTCATCTGACCACTGCTCAGTTCTCTTTGCTGGAGCTTCATTTCGTATCATTCCTGCTAACCCTGTGTGTCCCCTAACACTCTGAACCAGGACTTCTTTTCTTTTCTCTCCACAGTCTCTCACCTGGTGACCTCATTGGACTCCATGGGTTCAATGATCATCTCTGTGCAGATGGCTCCCAGATCTAGATATCCCTAGTTTCTCTCCTGAGCTCCAGTCCTGCATCATAAATGATGTTTGGCATTTCCAGTTGGATGTTTCCTTGCCATTTCAAACTCAATAGATCTAAAACAGAAGTAGTTCATTTCCCCTTCAAACCCATCCCATTTCTGAACTCTTCTATTTCTAACAAGGATGTTGCCATTCTTCTAGTCACTCACATTCCCAACCTCAGCATCATCCTCAGCTCTTCTGTCTCCCTCACTCTCCATCCCCCTCATCCAACCCTTCGCCAATTCTTGTGATCATTATCTCTTGCCTCTGGCCCCTTTCCTGTACTCACACAGCCACTCCTAAAGTGCTGGTCTGACTGTGTCACTTCCGCTCTCGATAAACCATGCTGGCTATCTACTGTCTCCAGGATAAAATACAAAGTCTTCTGCCTTTTAATGTCCTTCCCATTTTGGACCCAACCAACCTTTCCAGTATTGTTATGTATTATTCTTCTTCACACACACTATGATCTGACCAAACTCGCCTTTTGGCTTTTCCTTGTACACAACATCCCATCTACCACCACCATGCCTTTACTCAGGCTGTCCCCCATCCCTGAAGCACATTCCCTGCTCACCTCTGTAACACAGCATCCTTAGCTGCCTTCAGGACTCAGCCTAAAAACAACCTTTGCAGCTCGACTCCACATCCCATGACCTCATTCTGGTCCAATTTTCAGACCCAAACCATGGGGACCCAAACAATTTTTCCTTTTCCTCTCCAACTCCAGAGTTGGATTCTAGAGTTCCTTTTTCACTCAACATGTAAAATTATCAATCCTAGCTTCATGATTTGTTGGGTGGAACACAAAGAGCCTGAGCTGTACCGTTAGAAGACCTTGCTTCAGATCCCAGTTCTGCCCTACACCCTTGGGCAAATCATTGAACTTCCCAGAGTTTCAATTCTTTCATCTGTTAAATGAGAGGGGATAAATGAACTATATTTACTTAAAATATATTTTGTATTTTTTACTGGTAGAGTGCCAGGCTGGAGAGAGGAAGACCTGAGTTCAAATCCAGCCTCAGACATGGTCTAGTTGTCTGATCCTGGACAAGTCACTTGACTTCTGTTTGCCTCAGTTTTCTCAACTACAAAATGAAGATAATAATAGCACCTGCCTTCCGGTTGTTGTGAGAATCAAATGAGGTAATATTTGTTGTTGTTATTTTTAAGTGCTTAGCACAGTTCCTGGCACATGTTTTCAGTCATTTTTAGTTGTGTCCAACTCTTCATGACCTCATTTTGGGTTTTTTGGGCAAAAATACTGGAAAGGTTTGCCATTTCCTCCTCCAGCCCATTTTACAGATGAGGAAATGGAGGCAAATGGGGTTAAGTGACTTGCCCAGGGCCATACAGCTAGTAGGTATCTGAGGTCAGATTTTGAATTCAGGAAGGTGGCACTTAGTAGGTACTTAATAAATGCTTACTTCCTTCTCCCAAATAAAACATTGATATTTACAAGGAAATATACAACACATCATTGCAGGTTGCAAATAATTTAGCACCTACTGAATACTTAGTGAGACCTACTTTTTGGTGCCATGGTTTGGGTCAATACTCCTTTGCATAATTCCAGCTTCTGCCATGGCTTCAACAATGAGATGCCTCCTGAATATTGGTGCATGAACCTTTTGCCATCATGGCACTACTTCTTGGCTGGTCTCACTCCATATAGTCCATCAGCCACCTGTTTTCTGAGTTAGTCATCCTTGGACCTTGGGGGGGGGGGGTGGCAAACATGTTGGTTCCCATACACTGCGATGTAGTCTGGTAGGAGGTCCCATGTTTTGCTGTCTCACCTTCTGCTTCAACTGAAGGTCAGTTTTTTATGGAGCACCATAGTTTCTGTCACATGTCAGGACATGGGGTGTCTGCATCCACAGGAATCTTTCCTGGTGGAGAATGCTGAGTTTGCTGTTGGCTAATACTGCCACCTACCTCTGGCAAACAGCCTCCAACTTGGCACTGGTCAGAGAATCATTGTCAGTCCATACTTGGAACTTTGCTCCATACACATAGTAGGAATTTCTCAGTAACAACTGACTTCAAAGCCAGAAACTCATCTTGCTTGCCCTCTCAGCAACTTTTGGCACTGTTTGATCACCTTCTTCTTGGTATTCTCTTCTCACTAGGTTTTTGTGACATCCTTTCCTGGTTCTCCTTCTACCTGCCTCTCCAGGCTTCCTACATTTGCTCCCCTCTATGTCCTCTTTGAGGTAGACACTGCCTCCTGCTGGTGAGCTAGGAAAATAATTGATGCAATGACCAAAACAATGGAAAAGGAAGTAAATACCCAAACCAATCAAATCTGAATGCTGTGAAGTGATAGAGCCCCAGAGAAGACATTTAGGAAGAGCCCTCCTCTTGCTCCTTTGCAGAAGTTGGGTCCCACGGTGTGGAACATTCCATATGACATCAGACTTTTTTTCAATGTGTCCGCTAGTTTTATTGAATTTTTTTCTCTTCCTATTTTCCCTTTTAAAAAAATTTTTTTTTAAAAATAAGGAATAGTTCTTTGGAAGGGAGAGGGGGAGGAAAACAGGGAGAAATCTGGGTGATATCCTAACAAAAGACAGCAATAAATTGCTGATGATGGCATTGCCAGTGTTTGTGGGGCCAGGCAGCCTTCTTCTCTGACCCCGCTTTCTTTTCCCAAAGTAGGTTGTTCCCTAATGCTCAGCTTCTACATTAACAAAGCCCCATTCTCTTCTCGTGTGAAAGTAGCATGTGTGCATTCACCTTCTCTACAGCTGTAACAGAACTCGACTGTCTCTGGAGTCTTCTTCAGATAATGATGTATGTGTGTCATTGGGTCCCAGCACTGGTGCGTCCTAGAGCAATTTGACCAGTTCATTCATTCATTCATTCATTGGATAAACATTTATTCAATAAAATCACCTGATAGGTGCCAGACTCTGTGCTAAGTACTGGTGCTACCAAAAAAAAAAAAGGCAAAAGACGGTCCCTGTCCTCAAGCAACTTACAACCTAATTAACAAGCATTAATATTCATGAGCTATAAGGTATTGAGTAAATTTGTGCAGTGACAGCTAACACGAGGCTAGAATTTGAAAAACAAACTGCCAAGATTAAAGAAGAGGTGTAAAGCAGAAAGGATCGAAGTTTCTTTTTCCCCAGTGAGTTTCCCACTTGAAGACCTCCTTTGAGTCATCAGAGGGCTTAATAAGCTCCTGAATTTTCTCTTTAAATTCCTAGGCAAATACGTGCTTCTCCAAATCAAACGCTGACTCAGAATGTAGTGATATCCACCTTATCTTTATCTGGAGACAAAATCCTTCTCAGACGAATGACAGCCACTCACTAAGGTTTGCAGAGAGCAGGTGGCCCCAAGGGGAACATGATGCTAGTTAGGGGTAGCAGATGAGTGAGGGGAAGGGGATGAAGCAGAGAGGAGATCCATTCACCAGTTCCC